ATCGGCTAGGTGGTGTAAAGATACAATCAAAGCTACCTGCAACAGAAGTAAGTGGATCTGGTTATAGTACCCCTCAAGCAAATTATTAAATACCATAAACGTTTACCAGTATTGCATCATGAATAGATTTTTGAGTCTAGCAGCTGAGTATCGCGGCTACCGATGACAACTTTTCTACAATTTACAAGTGACTTACGTCGAATTTTATCCTGTATCTCAGCATACTCATGGACTTATATTCTCTAGGCCCACTTCTCCAACCAACAGAGAGCTGTTAGTTATTCGGGGAGCGACCCGTAGACGAGATATACTTTGGCCAGTGGTGTACTTCCCTTCAGTATGATCTGCATACGCAGGGCTCCTAAGATAAGAGTCAAGCTACCCACAGTTGGCTCTCCATCATCAAGTATGATAATATGGAATGACTGGAAGTGTATCACCACTGGCCTTTTTTAGGGCCATCATAAGTTTGTACGTTCCCTAAGTAACCATAAATCTCATCAGTTCCTTTGAGGGCCATCTACCGTTAAACTAACTTGCCCACAAAGACATTTTTGCTACTATTTTTGGCGATGATTCGTCCACTAAAAGACTATGGAAAGCCGGCCACTATTCAACCAAGTCAGTTATTTACTGGCAGACGTCACGAGCGGAGTTGTTCGTTGCAAGGCTGAGAACCGCGGTGACCGACGACCCTATATTACCCTTTTGACTCTAAGCATTCAGCCGAGGAGAAGCTTATGGATGAGTTTTTCTAAAAGTTCAGCAAGGCAGTGGAAAGCCTGTGAATTATTCGGAAAGTTGTGGTGCTTGGTGAGGGCCTTCGGGATTTTTCTAAAAACTGTGGAGTGTCAGCGGTGAATTGCTTCTATTTTGTTGCCCAACCGCATGACAAGTCCCATAAATTTTAGACTACCTTTAGATTGAATTAACAATCAAATAGCATTTTTAGAATGTGAATCCGACAAAAAAAACTAAGAGAAGTAGATATCATATAATGGAATGAAGCGTCAATGATTCCGAAAAAAGGTTTGGAAATAGTGGATGGAACATTGAAAGATTTTCGTGATAACGATTCACATTTTAAAGGAAAAACAATATTAGGTGGAGATTTCAGACAAACTTTACCGCTTTTAAAAATAACTTCAAAATCAGCTTTTATAGAAAAAGAAGAAAATAAGGTACTCTTATTTATGAAAACTTTTCAACATTTTTGAATAAAATAAAACACAAATCACCGAATGAAAAATTATTTTCATTTTCATGGATATAGAAGGTAAAATTGATTCGCTTACAATACCATATGAATGGAAAACGAAAGCCTTTGGTAGTAAAATTTTTAATAAACAAATATTTCTTTCATAAATTGAGTTATTTTAACATCACAAAACGAATACACTCAATTAATAAACAATAAAGTACGAAACACTATGGAAGGAACTGCTACATCCTACTACAGTATTGATTATGCAACAACACAAGAAACATATGAATTTGACGAAAATATAAATTTATTTTTTTCTAAAGTTTTAATCGCACTTTATAGAGGGTTACCACCTCATGCAATAAAATTAAAAAAAAAAATTAGTAGTCATGTTGATAAGAAATTTAAGTATCATAGACGAATTATGTAATGAAACTCGTTTATACGGAACAAAATTATATAAGTATAAAATTAAAGCTGAAGTCATTACAGGTTAAAACAAAGAACAAACAGTATTTATACCAAGATTTATTAAATATCGGGGATTATTCTTGTTTACTTTTTATTTTACATAAAAAAGAGTTTCTATTAATTTTGGCTTTTTCTACGACAATAAGCAGATCACAGGGCAAATGTCCAGATCCTATAGGATTATATTTAAAAAAACCTTTATTCTCACATGGCCAATTATATGTAGCTTTATCTTGATAAACAAATTCAAAAAATATTTTTATTCAAAATGATTCTAAACATGAATCAAAAATAAAAATTATTGTCTGGCATAAAATTTTTAAAATCTACCAATATTTGTGATAAATACCGATGTCGTAATCATATCGTGACATAAAAATATCTATTATAAAATGTATTATATCCTTAAGACATTTAAAACTTTTTATTTTCAGACATTAAAATTTCAAATGTAAGTATTGCATGTTAATATTTGAAGATTACTGATTAAACATTAAAAAAAATTCAACGGAACACTTGAAGAAGCACCAATTTGAAAAAATCTATACATGTGACACCTGCAACAACAGTTATAAAAGAGTTTATTACTTAAAAAGGCACCGCGTAGCACACGAAAAAGCCATCAACAAAAATATTTGTCGACAATGTGGAATAGGATTTTGTAAAAATGTTTCTCTACAGAGACATTTGAATTTACAAAAAATTAAATAAGTGATTTTTAAACAATATACTTTGTCAATTAAATAAATGCCTTAAAAAAACTGCAATAAACTGTTCTGAAATGTAAATATACTTGTACCACTTAAAAACTCATTGGTTTATGAGCTATTTTATTTCTAGACAACATTGTTCATTGGGCAAGGGGGAAAGTGTAGGACAGTATGGAGAATGGTGGTGAAACGTGGGGAAGGGTTGGGCAGCGTGGGAAAGTTTATAACAACTGCTTAAGCTCAAAAATAAAAGAAAAATGAGGTAAATCGTGGGGAAAGGTGAGGAAGCGTACGGAAGGGAGGGGCAGCGGGAAGGGTCGGGCAGGTTGGGGAAGCAAATCTTAGGGTGAAGTGAAAACATCTGCCAAATATAAGAAGATATATATACATATGTATGTTTCCATACAGAAATGTAAAAGTCAAAATTATTATTTTTAAAGACAAAAAATAATATGACTACAGTTGTTTAAAAGTCAAATGAATGATACAGATACTGTTTGATTAAAGTTTCCTATGTTAAAAAACGATGAGTCACGTGATGAAGCCTGTTAATTCGTTGCGTGATTGGCTGAGACTGATCAAGCGCGGGTAGATTTGAAAATGAGATTTTTAAAAATCCGTGAACAATCAGTTTAATTTGTAGGTTGATAAATATTACAATATTACGTGTTACGACAAAGATATAATTATTGTATTTTTTTTTAAATACAGAAAATGAATGTTTGATTAAATTTTAGGGGTTGGCGCGTGGAGCGTGCAGGGGGCGCAGCCCTCAAGTTTTATTAAAAAAAATATTACATACATGTACATAGATGAAGACAAAAGAAATTTTAAATAGAGTGTTCAACGATTTTGTATCTGTGTTTTTTCATTGTTACTGACAAACCCTTTGAAATTGAATTAACAAGTCTGTGTTCTTATATTTTATTAAATAAGTTAAAAATAACTCATCTGGTAACAAATACGTACGAGAAAAATTACATTTTTATGAAGGTAATAACTTGTAAAGCATGTGAAGAAACGAGGCTATAGAAATACATTAAATAGAAAGCCTGAAAAATCGAGACAAACAATAAAAGAAACCTATATTTCATATTTAGCTAAGGCTACTTGAAGTCAATGCTTTAGAGATATTCGTATTAAAGAGAAATTCATATTTACAATTTTTTTAAAATTTCTAATCAGTAGGAAGTTTGTTTATAGTCTGGAATTGTATACATTGAGTATACTTATGTACTGTTTCTTACGTAAGTCTATCTGTAAGAATGAATTCACAATAACAACTATGCATAGTTAAAAAAACATTTACTTCTCTGTTAAATATTTTTTTTAATTTTATAAGATCAAAAGAAGTGCTTGTGTACATTCGTACTATGTGGTTGTAAAATGGCTCAACAAAATAAACCATAAAACGACATATGACATTATTAGATGCTACAATACAGCTTTACAATCGCTTGAATGTTAGATTTTTTCTAAAAATTTTAATTATCGATAAAATTAAAAAATAATGGATGATGTGATTCTAAGTTCTTATAGGACTTGTAGATAGAAGTCAATTAATTGTTAACTGACAATATTTAACAGATTACTGGCGATTAAAAACGATGTCAACTTATGTTGCGTTTCATTAATAATGACAAATTTTTCTATTAACTTACTTATTTGTTGCTTAAAGTTTTGTACTTTAGCAGTCCTGCATCTGGTATTTTCTAGGATGTCTAGACAATACGTTAAGAATTATTTTTTTACTTTGCCTCAAATAACTTCAGGTTCTATTTAATGCTTTGACTTTGTTATTTTACAATAATAAGTAAAGATACAGATACATTAACAGAAATACTAGATTCGGTGGAAGTAAGTAACTACTTCTTTGTGTCAGACATCTTTAAACCAAGATATGATGGTGGTCTGAGCTTTGTGAAAAAAACTGATCATAAGTTATTCAGCTGTGTTAGTTGAAGTTGTACATTCAAACATATCTATTAACACAGCGTTTGATTAAGTTTCCGTCAATAAAATCAGTATATTGCATCTAGACTATAAAAAAAAGTTTCATTGTATCGTTAAAGGTTAATAATAAATATAGAAGTTAACGCTGAGTTCTCTCGTGTTTTAAAATTTGACAAAAGTTTTAACTATATAATTTATACGTAACTTTATAATTTTTATCATATCGCAGATATAATGCAATTACAGTTTATTTAAATTTCTCACGAGTGCTTTTTTATTCAATGGTATATATGAAAAGAAAAATAATCATCTTCAATATTCCTGCTCTTAAAAACAGCTTCGTGCAAAAAGACCTTAGTTTTGCGCAGTTTCACGGTACCTAGCTGTTGTACGTTATACATAAATAGTATTTGACTTCTAAGTTAAGAATATATATAAAATAAATTAGACAATATTACTAGTAGACTAATTGAATTTTTTTTAAATATTTATGTAATGCAGATATTGAGTATGTGAAAGCATAAATATACTTATTATTTTTCTAGTATTTAGACATAAGCCTTTAACAGCTCAGGATGGGAAAACAAAACTATGACATAATAATAGTATTACTACTTTAGCTGAAACCCTTTTTTTTAAATAATATTGTTCTTGTGTTATAGGAAAAGAACATGTCTGCAGGTTCATTGGCTGTGGAAGAAATGATAGGTTCAACTATGTCGTCATGCAACTTCAAGGAAAAAACTTAGCGGAATTGCGTCGTGCTCAACCTAGAGGAGCCTTTTCATTGTCAACTACACTGCGTTTAGGTCTTCAAATTGTAAAAGCAATAGAAAGTATTCACCAAGTGGGCTTCCTTCATAGAGACATTAAGCCTGTAAGTTGTTTTTATTTAAATCTTTCGTATGTAGTTCTTCACTTCACTGCTTGATCACTATACTTATAAAGGTAATTTTTTTCGTTTGTTAAGCGTAATATTGATTAACTGAATACACTTAATAGATGGTAACTAAATTTTCTCTTAATGTTTTCTCCATGATAATATTAATTGTGTTATTTTTGAAGTGAGAACTTCTTGAGGCGCGCCTCGGTTGAGGACCAAAACGGTAAAAACGTACGTGCGTACGTACGTATATACTGCAGCTCGGGGACGCTCAAGTTTCATCAATCGCCTTCGTATTTCGATACATATATATAGTCAGCATGTAGTTCTATGCATATTCCTATTGCTGTGATGCCGTGCCGTAATGTGTTACTACGTGCAGTGTCCACGAATAAATTGTATAGTGTATACATGCACGTCTGTATGTGTGTGTAATTTGTTAAGAAAAACAGAATTATGAATGCAACTTAGTGCTCTCGATTGCTGCAGAAAACCAAAGACGTGACCGCCATAGTACCGCCATTGGAACTGACTTTCTGCGGCAAGAGTTAATGCACGCTAAGCGGTAAATTCAAGCATACTAAAACTAATTAACCAAATCATCTTCAACCATCTAACCAAATAACCCTATACTCCAAACAAGCAAAACCCAACACTATTTAAAAAATACTCTCAACTTCTAAATATATTATTAAATTATACTCGAAAGGTTGCAAACCTTTTAAATGAAAATCAAAATAACTTGCATGACATGAATAACATAAGCAAAAATAACCAAAGACACCAAAGTGCTTACTATCCAATTTATTAATTAATAAAAATATAATATATTACTACAGCCCGTATCCTCATATGACCAAAGGCGATTTCTGGTCAGTTAATAAATTATTAGAATAAAAAATAAATGACACGAGTGCCTATAACGCAATGACCTGGGGCGCTTACAGGCCATTTTCTTATTAGATAAACGAAGTGCCTATCACAAGATGACCCAGGTCGCTTACTGCCAGCTTTGTTTATAAATAAACTAAGCGCCTATCCCCATATGATCCAAAGCGCTAACTGGCCACTTTGTTTATAAATGAACTAAGCGCCCATCCCCATACAACCCAAGGCCCTTACTGGCCAGTTTATTAATTAATAAAATAAACATTAACAACCCAAGCGCCTATCACCAGATGAATCAGGGTGCTTACTGGCCACTATGTTTATAAATAAACTAAGCGCCTATCAACAAATAACCCGAAGTGCTTACTGGCCAGTTTGTTTATAAATAAACTAAGTACCAATTACCAAATGACCCATAGTGCTTACTGGCCACTTTGTTTGTTAATAAACTAAGCGCCTATCACTAGATGACCAAGGGCACTGACTGTCCAGTTTATTGATACATAAAATAAAAATCACCAACACAAGCGCCTATTACCAGATGACCCAGACTGCTTACTGAAAAGTTTATTAATTAATTTAATAAAAATTGACATCACAAGCGCCTATTACCAGATGGTCCGGAGTGCTTATTCGCCATTTTATTAATTAAAATAATAGAAATCAACAACACAAGAGCCTATCACTTAATAACCTAGGGCGCTTACTGACCAGTTCATTAATTAACAAAACAAATTAATAACACAAGCGCCTACCACCAGATGACCTAGGGTGCTTACTGGGGTTTATTAATAAATAAAATAAAAATTATCAACACAAGCGCCTATCACCAGATGACCCAAGGCCCTTACTGGCCAGTTTATTAATTAATAAAATAAACATTAACAACCCAAGTGCCTATCACCAGATGACTCAGGGTGCTTACTGGCCACTATGTTTATAAATAAACTAAGCGCCTATCAACAAATAACCCGAAGTGCTCACTGGCCACTTTGTTTATAAATAAACTATACGCTTGTCACCAGAAGACCCATGTTGCTTTATAGCCACTTTGTTTATTAACAAACTAAGCGCCTATCCTCAAATGATCTAGGGCGCTTACAGGACATTTTGTTAATAAATAATCTAAGTGCTTATCACCAGATGACCTAATGTTCTTACTGGCCAGTGCATTGGTTGATCAAATAAAAATTAACAACACAAGCCCTTATTACCTGATGACCCGGGCCCATGCTGGACATTTTATTAATAATTAAGCTAAGCGCCTATCAGCAGATGACTCAAGGTGATTACTGGCTACTTTGTTTATACATAATCTAAGCACTTTTCACCAAATAACCTGAGGTTCTTACTGGCCAGTTTATGAATTAATACAATAAAAATTAACAACTCAAGCGCCTATCACTGAATAACCCAGGGTGCTTACTGGCCACTTTGTTAATTAATAAACTAAGCACCAATTACCACATGACCCATAGTCCTTACTGGCCACTTTGTTCATTAATAAATTAAGTGCCTATCACCAGTTGACTCGGGGCGTTTACTGGGTACTGTGTTTTTAAATAAACTAAGGGCCCACTACCGGATTACCTGGGGCGCTGATTGGCCATTTTATCAATCAATAAATTAAAAATTAACAAGACATGCGCCTATTACCAGATAAATCGGGCACTTGCTGGCCAGTTCATTCATTCATAATATATAAAGTTGTTTTTTTGTCTCTCCAGTATTCTTTGTCTAGACCCTAACAAACCCACATTAACCCTTTACATAATTTTCTTGCCTACAGCATATTTGCTGCCTGTCTTAAGTTTTCAATACGATTTCAGTCGAAAAACGTAGATGGTCTCAATGAACACAAAAATTTTTATTACATTTGTAGTATGTATATATTTACTTATATAATAATATTCATAAAATATTAAATAGTATGCTTATTAATTTATCCGTATTGATTTTTTTTTGTATTCGTGAGAACGTAGTTTCTGGTGTCACAAATTTTTTAGTGAGTTATGTCATTGTTAAACTATAATCAATTTCTCTATGTTTATTTAAGGCATAACATGAATACGTATATGAATATAGTTTATTCTCACTTATGTTATGTGTTCAAAAAATATTTGTACAAATTTTAGCTACAACTTTACATGGACGTTGATTGTTACCTATATATCTCATTCTAAAAGCTAGCATGTCTTTTATTTAGGTCATTGGCTCATACGTGTTTAAGAAACTCTTGAAACATTTTATTTTATTATAAATAANAAAAAAAAAAAAAAAAAAAAAAAAAAAAAAAAAAAAAAAAAAAAAAAAAAAAAAAAAAGAAACTATGCGAAAACCATTTCAAAATTATAAAAAATTAGCATGCAAAATTTTAGCAAAATCGGTTTATTAGTTTTTGCGGTTAGCGATTACAATGGTTTTAGTGACCTTGCTTTATATATTAGTAAGATTACACGTACGTGTTGCTGTCTAAATATTTTAAATACAGATTACGCCTATCTCTAACGTAATTTTGTAGCAGGTTATCCAGTATTTTAAAACGTATGTCAGCATACCACAATAAATAGTGGCTCGAGTCGGCTAAATAAAAATTTAAAATTCGGGTAAAGAAAAATTTAATTTTACATAAAGAGTCTTGTCTAAGACTAACAAACTGGTAACTAATTAATAACTTTAAGCAGTGTTGCTCACTAAAGTTGACGAGGACGAGGATGAGGATGATCGCAATTTGTTTTAAATGTAATTGTTTTAAGGATGGTGACATCAAAATAAATTTACGTGATATTGTTTAAGGCAAAGTTATACGTATCTTCAATGTAGTTCTGTATAATATAAATTTAAACGAATTATAATGGATTGTTTTAATAATACATCTTCAGTCTTTGCAGTATGTGGCCTGAAGTTACTCAAAAAAAGCTACAGCTTTTGGTACATAATTCTAAACGCCCCATAACACCTATGTAAAAATTTAAAATTGTGGAGTTGCTATTTAATTGAGTTAGCAACATGCTTTGTTATTTCAGCTACGAGTTCTTTGAAATTTATTTCACCATAAATTTTAACCTGAATGCAATGACTTAGTTTTATAAATAGTGATACAATTTATAAGAGGTCAAGTAACGAAGAATAACAAAATTAAGAAACATTAAGTTTTTGCGGCTTTTACGGTATTACTTGATATTCCTTTATTCCTTCTATAAAATAATAGTAGTTTTCCTACGAGTTTGAAAAGTCTTTGTTTGCGAACCAAGAGGTTTGCGGCCCGAGCCGAAGGCGAGGTCCGTAACGAGGTTCGTAAAGGAGACTTTTCGAACGAGTATCGGAAAACTGCTTTTTTGCCCGAGGAAGTACCAGCCTCCCAAAACCACCCGAGGGCGGAAAATAAATTTTTTTCATCCGAACAAGACTGTTTTTTCGAGAAAGTAGTATAATGAGGAATAAAATACAATCACTTATCATTCATATTAACGTGCGATAATACTTTTTTTTGTCTGTTAACGCAAGGTATTTTTCTTTCGTACGTGTCCTTTGATAAAAACAACTTTTTCTAAAATGGGTATGGTTTTCCACTGTTAGTCTGATGATTTAAAAATCTGTAATGATTTTTATAAATAAAGTTTTACTAATCATACGTAGTTTTTTCGTTGTCAAACATATTACTATCTACTTTAATCAACTTTTTAAGTAAAACAATAAAAAAAAACATGACAAGTTAATAGATAGTAACAAAGAATAAAATATATATAATTATTCAAATCAGCTCTGTTTGCATGAAGTCTAATATTTATATGTTGCAATTGGCACTTACGAGTAGGCACGCAAAGCTTGCAGAGAGCAAAGCCCTAATTTTGTGTGTGTGTGTGTGTGTGTGCGTGCGTGTGTGTGTATGTTTGTGTGCAACTACAGGTGAGTTATGGAATTATAAGTACACAGCGGCCCCCTGTCTCGGCTTCGCCCGAGACTCACTAAATGGAACACCGTAGTGTGTTGACATGTAATATGAAACGTTTTCAGTTAAAAATTTTACATCTAGTTTTGACACTTCTCAGAACAAAAATCTTCTTATTACAAACATATTTGTTCGGAATGCATTCAATTTCTTT